AACAAAAAATAAATAACCGGGACTCGCCATGAGAATAACGTGTGTTTGTTCGCGAAAAAGGACGTGTTTCCCCACGTATCGTTCAAACAGAATTACTGTTTGCAGCCTCTTCGTTTCAACGTTGGCAGAACTGCGCGGATAAGTTCAACGCAAACACGCTTAGGTGGTTTAATAATAAACAAACACGCGTTACCCGGCTTCGAATTTATGTTCCAATTACGTGATTTTCACGGAAAACCACCGCCGACGACGACTATTAACCAAATAAACGACAAATATGTATCCTAGTGTTTTTTCTCTTTGCGCGTTTCTCGCAAATCTCTTTCTTGATGTTTGTATTCTGCGATTTTTTAATTACTGACGTTAACTGTATTTTACTTTAATTTCGTGCTATACACAATGTGTAAGATAAATAGATATTTTCATGGTTCAACAATTTTTGAGGAAAAATCCCTAGGGAAATACTGAAATGTTATTGTACACATATTGTTTTATTAAAGTTGGAAAGTGTGTGGTTTGATAAAAGGACTTTTTAAGGAGATTTAACAAGGTTTAATATTCTTGGAATTTATTTAGGGAATTTTGTAATTCCCTTAAATTATTAGATTTGTAGATTTATGCAGCTTTAGTATTTTATGTTTTTATATTTTTAGGTACGTAGGTACTTAGATCTGTAGATTACTAGATTTCTAGGTTCCTAGGTTATTAGATTCCTAGGGCCCCAGATTACTGTGTCCCTAGATTCTTAGATTCCTAGATTTATAGATTTCAGAATTTTCAGATATTTAGTTTTTTAGATTTCTAGATTTTTAGGTTAGATTAGGTTAGGTGCATTTGTGAGTTTGCAACTTTTTAAAAAATTCTAAAAGTTTCCAACAACAAAATTGCACTCTGCAACCCAGCTTGATATGTTTACTATGTCACCTTAATATTAACCTCGCCAGATATAAGTATTTGGAGGTTAGAGAAGTTTAACTCTTTCATACAATTACATTAACAGCAAACATTTAAAAAAATTTCTATTACAATTCATAATCAGCAAGAAGAGTACATGTCCACATATGTGATCATTGATTATTAAACTTAAACTGAACATACTAAGGTTAGATTAGGTTAGGTGCATTTGTGAGAATGCAATTTTTTGAAAAATTCTAGAAGTGTCTAGCAACAAAATTGCGCTTTGCAATCTATCTTGATAAGTTTATTATGTCTCCTTAATATTAACCTCATCAGATATAAGTTTAGTTTAACTCCTTCATACAATTACGTTAATTACAATCATCTAAAAAAATTTCCATTAAAATTGATAATCAGCAAGAAGAATATATGCCCACACGAACTGAACATACTAAACTTGGCAAATGAAATGTACATACGAACATATGTTCGCAAAGAGCCTGCGTCCGCCATATTTGTTTTACGCGCCAGCGCCTCCAGGTCCTAATAATTTTCTGCTTGAATATCTCAAATATTGACGTTTACGTATATCGATACCGGTGCTGTCTACCTTGTTTCTTTTTACACGGAAGCAGAACAAACGCGTACACAAAATTCGAAAACACGGACGAGAGATAACTGAGGTCTGAAAAATACATGCCCCCCTGCGAAACTCCAGATAAATCGAGAAAACAATTTCGTTGGATAATCGCGAGGAAAAGGATGTCGGAAGATGTCCCAGCAGCCAGTAACAACAGGACGAAATGAAACGTGAATAAAATATAAAGGACCCTTTGCTTCCATGGAGGCATATGCGCGTATACATATATGACCCGCACGGTCCGGTGATTTAGCATGCCAGGAAAGCTTTGCAAGTTCATGGAAGATCGCAAACGCATTCCGTGGAATGGGGCTCACTCGACTCCTCTCCTTTTTTCACCCTCTTTGCTCTTTAAACGCGTTTGTCCGTTTCCATTGTACGACTTGTCGTTTTGTTTCTTTAAACCCTTCTCCCTCGATTTCATTTATTTCTCTGATTTCTCCTTTGTCCCGTCCATTTTTCTCGACTTCGCGCAACCATTAATCTCCTTCCGAACGCGATTTCTTCTCCATCTTTTCTGGCGATTGTTGCTCCTCGTGTTTTTTTCTCGGTTGTGTTATTCATTTTGCGCGGAAAGTTTTTTGCGAGTTTTCTCGTTGTTCGGTAATGGGCTTCCCTTGTTGGACGAAACGGGTAACAATGTTAATATTGAAGGGTAGAATATAATAAGGTCAGCTTCGGTTTTGAGATTTTTAGATTTGTACATTTTTGGGGGTTCTTGGAATATGAAAGCTTGAGAATTTTTGAGAATTGGGGATTTGAGCAGATTTTCAATTCTTGTATTTTGGAATTTGGGGATTTGGAAATTTAATTTGGGGATTATTGTGTTTGAGAACTGGAGAATTTTGGAATTTAGGAATTTGGAGATTTAGAAATTTTAATAATAAAGAATTTTACCAGTTGAAAACTTGAGAATTTTAGAATTTAAGAACCTAGGACTATAGTAATCTAGGGATATGGGGATCTAAGGATATGGGCATCTAGGGATATGGGGATCTAGGAATATGGGGATCTAGGGATATGGGGATCTAGGGATATGGGGATCTAGGGATATGGGGATCTAGGGATATGGGGATCTAGGGATATGGGGATCTAGGGATATGGGGATCTAGGGATATGGGGATCTAGGGATATGGGGATCTAGGGATATGGGGATCTAGGGATATGGGGATCTAGGGATATGGGGATCTAGGGATATGGGGATCTAGGGATATGGGGATCTAGGGATATGGGGATCTAGGGATATGGGGATCTAGGGATATGGGGATCTAGGGATATGGGGATCTAGGGATATGGGGATCTAGGGATATGGGGATCTAGGGATATGGGGATCTAGGGATATGGGGATCTAGGGATATGGGGATCTAGGGATATGGGGATCTAGGGATATGGGGATCTAGGGATATGGGGATCTAGGGATATGGGGATCTAGGGATATGGGGATCTAGGGATATGGGGATCTAGGGATATGGGGATCTAGGGATATGGGGATCTAGGGATATGGGGATCTAGGGATATGGGGATCTAGGGATATGGGGATCTAGGGATATGGGGATCTAGGGATATGGGGATCTAGGGATATGGGGATCTAGGGATATGGGGATCTAGGGATATGGGGATCTAGGGATATGGGGATCTAGGGATATGGGGATCTAGGGATATGGGGATCTAGGGATATGGGGATCTAGGGATATGGGGATCTAGGGATATGGGGATCTAGGGATATGGGGATCTAGGGATATGGGGATCTAGGGATATGGGGATCTAGGGATATGGGGATCTAGGGATATGGGGATCTAGGGATATGGGGATCTAGGGATATGGGGATCTAGGGATATGGGGATCTAGGGATATGGGGATCTAGGGATATGGGGATCTAGGGATATGGGGATCTAGGGATATGGGGATCTAGGGATATGGGGATCTAGGGATATGGGGATCTAGGGATATGGGGATCTAGGGATATGGGGATCTAGGGATATGGGGATCTAGGGATATGGGGATCTAGGGATATGGGGATCTAGGGATATGGGGATCTAGGGATATGGGGATCTAGGGATATGGGGATCTAGGGATATGGGGATCTAGGGATATGGGGATCTAGGGATATGGGGATCTAGGGATATGGGGATCTAGGGATATGGGGATCTAGGGATATGGGGATCTAGGGATATGGGGATCTAGGGATATGGGGATCTAGGGATATGGGGATCTAGGGATATGGGGATCTAGGGATATGGGGATCTAGGGATATGGGGATCTAGGGATATGGGGATCTAGGGATATGGGGATCTAGGGATATGGGGATCTAGGGATATGGGGATCTAGGGATATGGGGATCTAGGGATATGGGGATCTAGGGATATGGGGATCTAGGGATATGGGGATCTAGGGATATGGGGATCTAGGGATATGGGGATCTAGGGATATGGGGATCTAGGGATATGGGGATCTAGGGATATGGGGATCTAGGGATATGGGGATCTAGGGATATGGGGATCTAGGGATATGGGGATCTAGGGATATGGGGATCTAGGGATATGGGGATCTAGGGATATGGGGATCTAGGGATATGGGGATCTAGGGATATGGGGATCTAGGGATATGGGGATCTAGGGATATGGGGATCTAGGGATATGGGGATCTAGGGATATGGGGATCTAGGGATATGGGGATCTAGGGATATGGGGATCTAGGGATATGGGGATCTAGGGATATGGGGATCTAGGGATATGGGGATCTAAGGATATGGGCATCTAGGGATATAAGAATGTATGGATCTAGGGATATAGTGTGTATAAGAGTGTGTGGATCTAGGGATATAGGGTATATAAGAATGTGTGGATCTAGGGATATAGGGCTATAGGTATCTCAGTATCTAGGGATTTAAAGATATAAGGATATAAGGATCTAAGTAGCTAGGATTTAGAAATCTAAGAATATGGAAATCTAGGGACTTAGAAACTTAGATATCTAGAAATTAAAAAATCTAAAAATCTAAACTTAGTACATTCAGTTAACTAATTAATGATCACATATGTGGTCATACACTCTTCTTGTAGATTATGAATTGTAATGGAAATTTTTTTGAGAGCTTATCAAGCTAAATTATAAACTGCAATTTTCTTGTTAAAAACAAAATTTTGTTGTTGTCTAAAATTAAAAAAAAAACAGCATCCTAACCTAATCTAACCTAGCCAAAACAACTCACCACTGAATCATAAGCATGTGCCTAAAGCACGAACACGGAACAATTTCCTAAAACACGTGAATAAAATCATCGCAGCGGAAGTCGATGATCTCTCGTGAGTACACACACGCGTTAGAAGGTCTGAAAATTCGCGAGACGTATCAGCAGCCAACGATAAAAACGAACAAAGTTATTCTTGAAATTAGCGCGCGGATACGCCGGCTGTAATTATTACTTCCCCGACGCAATTATCGAACATGCAGGTTCACTCACCGTACATCTGTTGAATCCCGTGTCTGTCGTCCTCTGGCAGCTCGTAATTAGAGCTCAATCCCTGGTACCACGGGTACATGAGCGCTCCAGGAACCGAGCTGTGTGCCAAGCCGAGAGAGTGGCCAAATTCGTGAGCGGCCACTGCGAAAAGACTGGTCCCTGAAACCAAAAGAAACATCAAACGTTTCAGCAATTTCTATTTGGCTAATTCACTTGTTTACTAAATCAGTTCACATTTCTTTTTACTACTTTCTGTTGACGATTGTTTGGTTTCTACTGTATAGGGGTCTCACTATATGGCCCTTTTGTGGAGCGTTGAATTATCTGGAGTTGAAGACAGTGCATTGTAATTGTACAAATTTTTGAGTTTGAAATAGTAGGGAGAGATAAAATAGCAAGAGAGCGAAGTATAACTAAATATAGCAGTGTTAGAAACAGTAATTCTACTGTAAAGTATGGCGAGATCTCCCTATATGGCGCTCTTGTGGATCATTGTGTTATTTGGACTTGAAGACCATGCATTGCAATTATACAATTTTTTAGAATTTGATATACTCGATTTCTACTGTAAGATACGACATAATCTTCTTATATGGCCCTCTTGTGGACCGTTGTGTTCTCCAAACCGTCCAAGTAATGCTGTTGACAATTATTCAATTTCTACTGTAAAATATAGCATAGTCTCCTTATATGGCCCTTTTGTGGACAGCTGAGCCATCTGGTCTTAAAATTTATGCCTTGCAGATGTATTTTGTAAAATTTGTAACAATTGCTGAAAGATACAAAACTTAAGAAGATAAAAAACTAAAAAAACAATGAGTATTATCGTAAACAATAATTCTACAGCAAAAATGGTTCTCCAAATCTCTCGAATGATTCCGTTGACAATTATTCGATTTCTACTGTAAGATACAGCATAGTCTCCCTATATGGCCCTTCTATGGACCATAAACTCATTTGAACCATTTATGTCCTGTAGATGTACAATTTTATACAATTTATAACAGTATAAGATAAAAAATGGGTGTTATAAGAAAAAGGTAGGAGCGTCGTAAACTATAATTCTACAGTAAAAATGGTTCTCCGAATAACGAGTTGTGGGAGATTTCTCGGAACCGCGTGGTATTTCTCTTGAAGGAACTGTATTGAACTTTCCTACAACCGCCTGTTGGGTTTTCCGGTCAATTAGTTCTGGAATTGCAGTAACTGCTGTTGAATTTCACTCTTTCGTGCTATTGGAGATGTTGAATCTTTTCGAAATTACTCTCTTCACTCGATTACACGATTTCGTGGGCAATTAGAAAGTCGTTTGTTGGGAATAAGCAGAAAATAGGTTAGCGGCGATAAGTAGCGAGATTATGGGTTATGGTCAACTTTGGAAGTTTTGTAAGTAGCTTTATGGGGTATTAGGGATTTGTTGGGTATTCGCAGTTTTATAGAGCATTGCGGTTTTATAGAGAAGGCATTTTATAGGACACTAGGAGCTTTTTAGGTTATTTGCAAGTTTTAGGTGTTTTCTGGGATGTTAGAATTAATTTTTTAGGTTAGGAGGAAGAATTAATGGTTTTGTGGGATATTAGAATTAGTTTTGTAAGTTAGGAGCATTTTTAAGCAATTTTACAGGTATTAACAAATACTAATAGTTTTATAGGATACTAGGATCAAGTTTATAGGTTATTAGCAAACATTGGCACTTTTATAGGTTATCAACATCAATTCTGTAGACAATTAGCAAGTATTAGCAGTTTTGACAGATATTAGAATTAATTTTTTAGGTTAGGAGCAAGTATTAATAGTTTTGTGGGATACAAGAATTAATTTTGCAGGTTAGGAACAAGTATTAATAGTTTTGTGGCATACTGGAATTCATTTTGTAGGTCAGGAGCAAGTATTAATAGTTTCGTGGGATACTAGTACTAATTTTTTAGATTAGGAACAAGTATTAATAGTTTTGTGGGATATTGGAATTCATTTTGAAGGTTAGGAGCAAGTATTAATAGTTTCGTTGGATACTAGAACTAATTTTTTAGGTTAGGAGCAAGTATTAATAGTTTCGTGGGATACTAGTACTAATTTTTTAGATTAGGAACAAGTATTAATAGTTTTGTGGGATATTGGAATTCATTTTGTAAATTAGGAGCAAGTATTAATAGTTTCGTGGGATACTAGAACTAATTTTGTAGGTTAGGAGCAAGTATTAACAGGTTTATAGGATACTAGAATTAATTTTGTAGGTTAGGAGCAAGTACTAATAGTTTTGTGAAATATTAAAATTAATTTTGTAGATTAGAAGCAAGTATTAGCAATTTTGTGTAATATCAGAATTAATTTTGTAGGTTAGGTGCAAGTATTAGCAGTTTTGTGGAATATTAAAATTAATTTTGTAAGTTAGGAGCATTTGTAAGCAATTTTATATGTTATTAACAATTATTAATAGTTTTACAAGATACTAGCATTAACTTTATAGGTTATCAGCAAGCACTTGCAACTTCACAGGTTATGAACATCAACTTTGTAGACAATTAGCAAGTATTAGTATTTTCATAAAATCTAAGGATTAATTTTGTAGATTACAAGCAATTATAAGCAATTTCATAGGATACCAGTCTCAATTTCAGAAGCTATTGCTAAGTATTAACATTTTTACAAAATATTAGGATTAATTTTGCAGGTTATAAGCAATTACGAGTAATTTCATAGGTTAGCAACATCAATCAGGCTATTGCCAAGAACTAGCAGCTTCAGGGACTATTAGGATTAATTTTATAGGTTATGAGCAGGTATACGCAATTTTATAGGTCAGCAGCATCAATCTCATACGCTGTTGCCAATCATTAGCAGTTTTAAAGAATATTAGGTTTAATTTGGTAGGTTATGAGCAAAAATAAGTAATTTTATAGGTGAACGTTTATTTTGTAGATTATCAACAACCAATATCTAGTTTATAGATTATAGACGTTAAATTTAGTTATCAGCACACATCAGCAATTTTATAGGTTTTAAAATTTGCAAGTTACCAAACATCGACAGTTTCATAAGATTAATTCAATTTTAATTGTTCAATAATTGCATATGTTATTAGCAACAGTTTTTAAGGTCATCAGCAACCATCAGTAATTTTACAGGTTATCTATGTTAATTCCGCAAATTATCAGCCATAATTTCATACACGACCACATTTACACATTATCAACAATTTCAAACGGACCAATATTAGCATAAATTGATATTACCATCATCAAGCAATGAATATATTCATCAAACACAAATAAATCAAACGAAATGCCCAAACAAATTACACGTGTACCAATATGTAATATCGGAGAACAATGAGCTATACGACCGATACGTAAACAATATGGTCGCAGCGTACACAAAATGGCGTACGCCATATTTCAAACCCTATGAATAATTCGAAAGTATATTAAAAATCACCGCGTGTTTCAGTAATAAAGATCAATATTATTTCAATCATTTATCATCGAGATATTAAAACCTAGTTTCAGGTTTAACCTTTTTATCTTCGTTCCGTCTCGCTTCACACCCTTCACATTCGTTTGAAAATCTAGGTCGGAATCATAAAATTAAAGGTCACGGGTTTAACGATGAAAGAAGCACCCCTGCTGGCTGGGAAAACAGAACGAACGTGACGCTTTCCTTCCTCGTTTATCTTTTGAGGAAAATTCACGATGGTGATTTCCTATGCGGTGAAATTAACGTTTCAGAACTTTCATTTTGCTGGGTGATTAATTTTTGTGGGGATGGGGTGTTGTTTTAGGGAATGCTGAGTTAGAGGGATTTAGGAATTTGGGAAATTAAGGATTTAGGGATTTGAGAATTTTGGACGTTAGGAATTTGGGAACTGAGGGATTTGGAAATTTGAGAAATTAGGGATTTAGGGCTTTGAGAATTTAGGAATTTTGCAATTTAAGTATTTGGGGATTTAGGGATTTTGCAGTTTGAGAATTTGGCAATTTGGAAATTTGAAAATTTGGAAAATTCAGGATGTAGGAATTTGAGAATTTGGGAATTTAGAGACTTTGCAATTTGAGTATTTGTGAATTTAGGGATTTGGAAATTTGAGAATTAGGGAAATTGAGGATTTAGGAATTTGAGAATTTGGGAATTTAGAAATTTTGCAATTTGAGTATTTTGGAATTTAGGGATTTAGGAATTTGAGAATTTAGAGATTTTGCAATTTGAGTATTTGGGAATTTAGGAATTTGGAAATTTGTGAATTTGGCAATTTAGTGATTTGGAAATTTGAGAATTTGGTAAATTAGGGATTTGGAAATTTAGGAGTTTGGAGATTTGAGAATTTTGGAATCTAGGGATTTTGGAATTTGAGTATTTTGGAATTTAGGGATTTGGAAATTTGAGAATTTGGATAATTAAGTATTTTAAGATTTGACCATTTGGGACGTTCGAAATTTGAGAATTTGGTAATTTAGAGATTTGGAAATTTGAGAATTTGGTAATTTAGGGATTTCGAAATTTAGGAGTTTGGAAATTTGAGAATTTTGGAATATAGGGATTTTGGAATTTGAGTATTTGGGAATTTAGGGATTTGGAAATTTGAGAATTTGAAAAATTAAGTATTTTAGGATTTGACAATTTGGGACGTTGGAAATTTGGAAGTTTGAAAATTGCAAAATTTGGAAAATTAAGGATTTAAGAATTTGAAAATTTGGGAATTTGGGAATTTGAGAATTTGGAAACTGAAAAATTTGGGAAATTAAGAAATTAGGACGTTGGAAATTTAGAAGTTTGAAAATTCGAAAATTGCAAAATTTGGAAAATTGAGAATTTTAGGATTTTCGAATTTGGTAATTGAAAAATTTGATAAACTCAAGATAGCGATCTGAGAATTTAGAAATTTGAAAATCCAATAAATTCAAAATTTGGAAATTTGAAAATCAGAGAATTTAGAAACTCTCCTTTGAAAATCTGCAAACCTTAAACATTTGTTCATTTGACACAAAAACTCTTAATTTCATAATCTTTAAATTCAAAAATTTTAAAAAACACACTTAAAACAATAGAATGCTATGCATACAAATGTCCTTGTCTAATTGTACTACAAAACCAATATACTTGAACCGAGTTACTGAAATTCGAATTGTCTCCAGTGATTCGATGTAAAACAAAGACGTATAACT